ATGAGCTGTTTCGTTGTATGGACTCATTGATTGTCAAATACCTAGGCGAATCGGAAATGGAGAGTGTTCTTGTTTATGCGCCTCGGGTTATGCGAGACGGTCGGGCTCAGCTCCGTTTGAGACTCCACAGGTGGTGTAGCGTGGCTGTGGTCCGCCTCGAGAAGACGCCCTGTTGACGCGGCGGCGTGTCGCAGCTGACTGGCGACCCGTGGGTCCAGCGCGCTGATTGCCGGGTGGGGCCTGCGGGAGGCGCCACAATTCGTCATCGTTCCACCGGGGCCGGGGCTCAGAAGCAGCTCCATCCCCGCTCATCGACGGCCTTGGGACCCATTGCGATTCCTATACGTGTATAGGATTGAAGCCGAGGAAGCTATTCTCTTTTAGGAGTTCGCGACAATTACCTTTCTTTAGATACAAATACCAACTGATTCATTCACATTGTGCTCCGATTTGTGCGGCTGAGTGTTGCGCGGCCAGGACACACAGTACACCACCTTCCCCTCCATTCGCGGGAAGCTGTTGCAGCCGTGCCCCTCCAGGTTGACAGGTTCACAGCATTTGCAGCTTCATCCGGAAATCATTGCGCCTCTCGTCCCATCTCACTTCAACTTCCACTACGTCACACCCTCCTCAACTATTGTCACCAAAAGTTACCTCTTCTTTTTTGCCGTTGCATACTGTCTTGACCAAGGACATGGGACAAAACTCCCTTCATTCAACCCAAAGCCCAGCCTAACCAGGCAAAACCCAACTACCTTACTGTCCTACCTACACATACACCATCCCCTTTTCGCGAACAGATATCGCGCCTCCACAATGGTGGCGGACTCCCACTTTGCGGGCCGCACAAACGCGGTCCCCATCGCGGAAGAGTTCGAGGACGACTCCTCATCCCCCGATGACGCCGCGCCCCCGGCCTACGGCGACTTTCACGACCAGCTCCAGCTCTCGCAGGCCGGCTTCGAGGCCGGCGCCGCCGTCACAGCCGACGGCCGCGTCAGCATCAACCTCAACCAAAAGGACCGGCGTCTCTCCGACTTGCTGGCTCCCACCTTACGTCGCCAGCTCATCCCCGAACAGCCTCCATCGCGTCTCTCGACCGGCCCCTTACCGCCCGCTTACATCCCGCCCAGTCTTGGGGGGCAGCCGGGCCAGACGCCTCCGCCGAGGCTAAACGTGGTGATCCAGATTGTCGGGTCGCGGGGTGACGTGCAGCCGTTTGTGGCGCTGGGGCAGGTGTTGAGGGATACATATGGACATCGGGTGCGGGTAGCTACGCATCCCACGTTTCAGGGGTTTGTGGAGGAGAATGGACTCGAATTTTTCAGTATCGGGGGGGATCCGGCTGAGTTGATGGCGTTTATGGTCAAGAACCCCGGTTTGATGCCCGGGTTGGATGCGCTCAAGAGCGGTGAGATCAAGAAGAGGAGAGAGGGGATCAAGGCCATGTTGATGGGATGCTGGAGGTCTTGTATTGAGGCTGGGGATGGGCTGGGGCCACCTGTTATGCCGCAGAGGGTGGGCGGTGGTGAGGCGACGGAGGAGGTGTGGGATGCTGCGAGTGCTGGGGGGCGGCCGTTTGTGGCAGATGCGATTATTGCGAACCCGCCAAGTTTTGCGCATATCCATGTGGCGGAGAAGTTGGGGATCCCCTTGCATATGATGTTTACGTGAGTTTTTTTTTTCTTCTTCTCAGGGGTTGGGTTGAAGGGGTTAGGAAGCTAATCAAAAAGACAGGATGCCGTGGTCCCCGACGAGAGCGTTTCCTCACCCGCTTGCGAGTATCGAGTCGTCGAATACGGATGTGGTGATGCAGAACTACATGTCATATGCTCTGGTTGAGATGTTGACATGGCAGGGCCTGGGAGATGTCATCAATCGGTTCAGGGAGAAAACGCTTGGCCTCCAGCCCCTTTCTTTGATCTGGGCGCCGGGCCTTCTCAATCGACTTCGGGTGCCGACGACCTATTGTTGGTCACCTGCGCTGATTCCGAAGCCGAATGATTGGGGTCAGGAGGTCACCATCGCGGGCTTCTACTTCCTCAACCTTGCATCATCTTATACGCCCGACCCGGAGCTCGCTGCTTTTCTCGCTGCTGGGCCTCCGCCAGTTTATATTGGCTTCGGGTCGATCGTTGTCGACAATCCCAACTTTCTGACAAGAACCATCTTTGACGCCGTGTCCATGTCCGGTGTAAGAGCTTTGGTATCAAAAGGTTGGGGTGGCCTCGGCGCCGATGCGGTTGGCATCCCAGATAATGTCTTCATGCTGGGTAATGTGCCCCACGACTGGCTGTTCCAACATGTGTCAGCTGTGGTGCATCACGGTGGCGCTGGCACAAGCGCCGCGGGCATCAAGGCTGGAAAACCAACGGTGGTGGTCCCTTTCTTTGGTGATCAGCCCTTCTGGGGCCAAATGATCGCCAAAGCAGGAGCAGGACCAGCGCCCATTCCGTTCAAGAAGCTGAGTGTCGAGTCATTGGCTACGGCGATTGGTGATGCCCTGAAACCAGAAACCCAGGCTCGAGCCATGGTGTTGGGTGCCCGTATCAGCGATGAACAAGGTGCTGATGTCGGTGGCAAAGCTTTCCACCAATTTCTTGGGCTGGAGAACATGCGCTGCTCTCTTGCGCCGAGCCGAGTTGCCATTTGGCGGGTCAGAAGGACCAAGACCAGGCTGAGCGCTCTCGCTGCGGCGGTTCTGGTGAGGGAAGGCGAACTGAAGTACAAGGACCTGAAACTGTAAGTTGGCTGGGTAATGATGATGACGATGGCAGCTGCTGACGACGCCAAGGTATCGACCTACCGAGTACAACACTGATGACGCGCCCTGGGAGCCGATTTCAGCAGTGACTTCGTGTCTCGTGGGCGATATCAGCACCATCGCAATGGCGGTTGCGGATTTCCCCAAGGAGATATTCGAGAAGCGAGCGGGGAGTCGGAGCAACGAGTCTACAGCCGACCTCGGAACCTCTGACGAGGCTTCAAGGTCCGGTGCTCAGCTCGAACAACAGACGTCCCTCACAAGCTCGAGGTCAACGACTGCCCCGAGCCTTGTCATTCCCGAACAGAAACTGCCTTCCGCGTCCCAGACCAGCCTCGCCTCATCTCGTCGAACACCAGTTGGATCCCCGTATAGTTCACTACGAAACCTTTCACCTCTATCCCCTGGGCTACATGGCCGTCCTGCCAGCCGCGGTGAAGCCTCCTCTCCTGCTCTTGGGTCTAACCTCAACCTTGACACGGCCCTCAACGCCTCCGAAAATGTTAGTCGCATTGTGGAGACGGGCATCAAGATGCCCATGAACTTTTGCATGGGACTCGCTCGCGGCTTCCGTAACGCACCTAAGCTTTACAACGACGACACTGTCCGGCCTGCCGAAAAGGTGACTGGACTTGCGAGTGGGCTCAAGGTCGCCGGAAAGGAGTTTGGCCTAGGCATCTATGATGGTATCACTGGCCTGGTGACACAGCCTTACAAGGGAGCTGAAAAGGATGGCGGGGCGGGCCTTGTAAAAGGCTTCGGAAAGGGCATTGGTGGCTTCTTCCTAAAGCCAGCGGCCGCTATCTGGTCCATACCGGCCTATGCGATGCAAGGCGTGCATGCCGAGGTCAAGAACATGCTTGCGAAGAGCTCGATGGGCTATGTCATTGCATCAAGGATCCGACAGGGAGACGAGGAACTGGCAGAGAGCACCATCGAGGAGCAGAAAGATGTGCTTGCCAGATGGAACCGGGTGGGTGAGGAACTGAAGGGGTTTTACGACCTGAAGAGCAAGGAGAAGGAGATCGGGGACCGTGGTGATGGGACCACCGATACACCGAGCAGCGCACCGAAAACTGGATGGTTCCACACCAGAAACCTGTCTTTTGAAGAGCGGAAGAGGCTTCACACGGAGAAGCTGGCTTGGAGGAAGCAGCAACGAACAGACCGTAGCATTCCGAGGAGCAGCGGTAGTGGCGATAGCGCTAACGGCGCTGTCACTGCGGAGGACGAGGAGTTCGAGCGCGCTATTCTCGCCTCGGTGCAACAGACTTCGAGAGGAGACAGCGAAGAAGATGCTCGTGTAGAAGCCGCCATCCGAGCCAGCGTAAGGGAAATGCGTCGGATTGCAGAGGAGCAGAGTCGTGAGCGGAGGGGCCCAGTGCCTCAGGACGTGTATTCGCCTGAGAAGGTTCAGATACCTGTGCCTGAACGCGACGGGGCTCTAGTCGCCGAGCTTGATGGCTCTACTGTGGATGATGATCTGAGGAACATCACAGATGAAGAGTACCAGGCGCTCATTGAAGAGGCTGTCAAGCTCAGTCTGACTGAGCAGCAACAACATCTGCAGCGGCAAGCTGAGCGTCATGATCAGGTTGATGAAGATGATGACGCTGAGCTTCTCAAAGCGATCGAGCTGTCGCGTGCCGAGTCTTTCCGGAAGGCGCCTCCTCAGGAGGAAGGAGTCGCGGGCGATGACGACGTGGAACTAAGACGGGCCTTGGAAGAATCGGAGCGGGCTCATCGACAGGAGCTAAGGAGACAGATGACAGAGGAGGAGATCATTATGGAGTACGTCAAGAAGCAAAGTCTTGCCGAGGAGGAGTACCGTAAGGCCAAGGGGAAGGGGAAGGCGACTAATGAACGTAATGAGGAGTCGCCTGAGTTCCTTGAGGATTTGGATCGTGCGGTTCGGGAGAGTCTAATTGCTCCCAAGGGACGGCCGAGGGGTGGTAGTGCGGGGCCTTCTTGATGGAGGTTTTTCTTGTCAAGTGGAAGGAGCACATAGAACAGGTTGATACCCATACTCTCTGTTTTTTTTTTGTTTTTTTTTTTTTGGTAGATTCGAATTCAATACCATTATGGTGGCTTTTCAAAGTGTCCTAATGAGGAGCGTCCCGATGAGAAACATCAAGCACTTCCTGCGGTTGAAGGGAAGAACTATCAGGCCGGCGAGGGTAAAAGAACGGCAGGGCGTATCCAAACTCGCGTCGTGAAGCCCAAGGGGCGAAAAAAGACGGTCGGCCCGGAATCAAACCGGAGTCCTGTAACTGGGATTTGAGAAGGTTTCCCTTCAAGTTTGGCGCTGTCTCGAGGGCTCGCGGAACTCCAAACCAGCCAGCACAGATGCTGACCACTGCACCACACGACCGTTAGATTTGCACTTTGTAAAAGCTGCCCATATACTACCGCTAGCGAGGAGGGAGCACTACCGTTCACGTTTGCGGTCTGGTTCAGCTGCTTAGACGACGCCGCAACCACCATGGAAATAGAAACAGCGACGCCGCTTCCCCTTTTGTGGCATTTCAGGTCTACTTCTAAATTAGGCAAACAGTTTCAAATACTTTGTTCCGGTCTCTACAACACTGCCATCTAAATGACAACCAGCTACCATTGGACGCCGACGATACAACACTAGGGATGATGGACTTGGAGACGGCCTAACAAATGCACCGACGGAGATAGCCTCAACGTTAAACCACCCGAACTCAATCCAGATCTTGTCGCTTGCGCCTCCTATTGGCCACTTTTTCTTTGTAAACAACCCGTGATTTCATAATGTCGTATATGACGCTGACGCTCCAACCCAGCGGGAAGGAACAAAGGAGAGGATGGGTCCGTTCCAGACAATAGCATTCTTTCTCATAAAATCACACAAAATCTGGTGACTTCATCTCTTCATCATTCTCCCTGCGCTCCGCCCCACCCACCTTAAATTCCTCCCAACTCAACAAAATTGAACATGAAGAAAACGAAATCAATCATGACAACCCCATACAAAAACCCCGTCCTCATCATCGGCGGCACAGGCACGGTAGGCAGCCGCATCGCCAAACAGCTCGCGGCGCGCTCCATCACCGCCCTCGTCGCCTCCCGCCAGGGCACCGGCTCCGATAATGCTGTCATGTTTGACTGGCACGAGCCTAACACGTGGAGCGCTCCCTTTGACAAGTCGAAGTCCTCATCCGACAAGCCTTCATCCGAGAAGCCCGCATCCGACAAAGACACGAAGGACAGCAAGGACAGCAAGGACAGCAACTTCGTCCGCTCGGTCTACCTGATTGCGCCGCCGACGCTCGATTCGGCGTCGGTCATGATGGAGTTTGTGGATTTTGCGCGCCAGCACGGCGCTAGGCGCTTTGTTTTGCAGAGCGCGTCGGCGATTGAGTCGGGCGGTCCGGCTATGGGAAGGGTGCATGCGTATCTAAGGGAGCTGGGGCAGAGAGGGGAGGTGGAGTGGTGTGTTTTGAGGCCGACTTGGTTTCAGCGTGAGTCTTGTTTCGTCTTCCTGGCGATTTTCGGGTCTGGGAAAATAACATCTTGCTGACGATGGGATGGCTTGATAGAGAATCTAGCAGAACAGGAAAGTCATGTCCGGTCGATACGGGACGAGAGTAAGCTGTACTCGGCAACGGGCGATGGAAAGATCCCGTGGGTATCGGCAGATGATATCGCGGCTGTTGCGGCCAATGTTTTGACGAGGATCGATGCGCCAAATACCGAGCTTTTGGTGTTGGGGCCCGAACTGCTTTCGTATAACGAGGTAAGTGACCTATGTTGGTGGTGTAAAGGGCTTCGGCTGATTAGCTGGCTGTCATCAGATTGCCACAATGCTGTCCGAGATTCTGAAGAGGAAGATTGTCCATGTTGACTTGTCGACGGCGGGTTTGGCACAATATCACAAGTCCCATGGGATGCCCGAGTCGTATGCCCATATGTTGAGCAACATCGATACGTGTATCAAGTTTGGGTCGGAAAACCGGACGAATGATGTGGTCTTCAGTGTCACCGGATCCAATCCCCGGCGGTTCCGTGATTACATGGAGTCGGTCAAGTCGGTGTGGAATCCCGTGCCCTCGAAAGCATGAATCGAGGCTTCGGGATTGGCATCGAGGATATAACCAGTTTGGAGTGTGATACCTACCTAGTCTCAGAGTCATCGCTGTGCTACCTGAACACGGAGTGTCGAAAACCTTGTAATCCCTCAGTGAAAGCCACCCTTGATACTAAGATATTCTGAGGGTGTAGTCCCAATAACAAAGGATTGGACACACACCTATCGCCTTCAAGCATGGATTGGATTTGGAAACGTAGGGATCGTCATTCTAAGGCTGAGAAGTGAAGCTCTTCACACAAAACTCGACAACACAAAACAACAAATAACCAACCGCAGAGTTCACCACTGTTATGCTTCAAAAACAATCGTTTTCAACCCCGACGCACCACAAGCATGTCTCCGCAACCATATCATGACCCCAAACCATCCAAAATTCAAACACTGCAAATCAACCAAAAACCAACATCATCCTCCGTCCTTGTTGATTCATTGACTGGACCCAGATACGAACAGGAAAAAAGGAAAGGTAGCCTTTTCGTCCACCTTTTTCTCTTCCGCAACTCATCATCGCTGACCGAACAAGTTACACACACAGGGATAATGGTATATATCACGTTCCGTTCCATTCCACTACACCGCAGACATGACGAAGAAATCAATCTCTTCCCCACGCACTAAAACTGATCGAGACCAACCCAAGGAGATAAATGTCCACATAACTACTGATCAAGAAAAAACCGGGTTAAAAAAAAAAAAGCCCCCAACCCCCGCCATCAAAGTCAATTACGTACAAGAAAAAAAAAAGAACAAATGGAACCCTTTGCCATGGAAAAAGAAAAGACAAAAAAAAAAGCTATCCCGTCACTAGCTCCAAGCCTCCCCAACTTTACCCCAACTTCAACTCCAACTCCAACGAGCCTCTCAGCTGGATACTGATGGTAATCATTGGATGGCGGGGAGGAAAAGCTAGGCTGGGGAGGACAGGGAGAGATAGTAGAATGTCTTTCTTTTCTTTTCATAACCGCTCAAGAGAACCTGAAAAGGACACACCACACGAAAAAAGAGACACGCATAGCCCTTTTGTTTCTTTTCAGAACCAATGTGCGGGAAAAAAAAAGATGACAACCGTAAACTCCCCTCCCCTCCCCTCCTCCAAGCAACGAGAAAACAAGTATTTCCAGAGTTACCGACCCAGGCCAACCGTCCCCTTAGGTTTTTCTTTCCGCTCCTTCGCGCCCTCGCAGACAGACACACACGGAACAACTCTTTCAATGTTAATTAATTCCACGATCCACGAGAGTCGGTAAAAAGCTTTCAACTCCCGTACCTGATTCCCGTCTGCCATCCTGCTCGCTCCATCACATTTCATAGTCGCTATACAACCAACCGAACCCATACCCCTCTCTACCCACACAGGAATTACGCGGCGAAGTTCCAGAATAAGTCGGTTGGCTGATGGTCCATACGCTGCTCTTCCTAAAGCATGATCATCGAAGCGAGCTGGGTGGATGTGCTCAAGAAATCCAATCCTACAAACACCGCTTGGCCCAAAAGAGTCTCTACCCATCACTCCAGCAACCCCTAAGTCACCCCTGGGTTCAACTTTTGTCCCTTGGCCGGCGGGGCCTCGCGACCGAATCCAGTCGACTTCGGATGACTCATCGCTCGATGGCGACTGACCGTGGACTGAGCTCTGGAGAGGGGAGCTCGTCGATTATCAACCGCGGTGCAACGTTGATAGGGCCCTAGACCGGAACCTAGTTGACCTTGTTACCGCACACGGTGCATTTCACCGGCTCGGTCCATGTCTTCTCTCCACCAACAATGCCCTCCCGCAGGTCCTTGAACTCCAGGAGCGGGGGACCTTGCTCTGTCGGGTTCAGCGTGACCTCGAACAACCCGACCCACGGCTTAGCATCGCCATTGATCTCCGAGGCTCGCTTCTTTGGTCTGCCAGGTTTCCCCTTTGCTGGTGTTTTGATGTTTGCCTTAGTCGGCGTCTCTGAGTTCGACTTGGACCTCGGCTCGACAGATGGCTCGGCAACCGAATCCTCGGGCGCGCTGGGCGCATCCTCGTCGCCTGACTGCCGTACGTCCACGCTGTCCTTAGTATCGACCTGCACCGAGTCAGGCTCGCCGTCCGCTCGGACATCAATCGAGTGTTGGGCGGATGCGCCGGTGCCTGTCTCGGTAGGGCTCAGCGGACGCGTCGCTTCATCTGCATCCTTCTTGAGGTCTTTCACCGCATCGGGGTTGATATGCGGTTTATCTCGACCAAGTCGGGCGTATGTGGCCTTCAATGCTTCGTCCTTGATGCATTGCTCATGCATCCACTTTTTGCAAGACTCGGTCGTGCAACCAACGAGGAGGTTGTCCGGGTTAGCGGGGGTATTGCAGCTGCAAACGAGTTCCACCGTCTGTATCCTTGAAGTTAGCGGTGCCAAAGGGCGGGAAGAGACTGGGAGGCGGTACGTACAGAGAGCTCATAGGTTCTGACATCGAACGCCTGGCGCCAGTAAAGCGCCTGCTGGATTTCATCGTCATTCTCCTCGAACCACTGCTTCACTTGCGCTTGCGACGTGACGCTCACTACATTGATGATGTCCACTGAAAATAGTTAGGGAAAGTGCGCGCGCGCGTGCGCAGTTGGGTCAAGTGGGCACTCACTGTGGTTTGACGCAATCAACTCATTGGCGCCATGGTATGGCTGGCGCCCAGAGACAATCTTCTTGCCGTCGTGCGTGCCTTGCGGGAGCTCATCGGGCCAGTACATCCAGTAAACGCGGGCATAGACGTGGTGCTCATCACTTGCGCGAATCTCGAGAATGCGGGCCACCCAATCATCATCAGACTTCTTCCTTGGTTGCATCATTTCGCCGCTGGAGACAGCTTTCTGGCGCTCGATGCTCGAGTCATTGGCGACATAGATGAAGCCTTCACTAAAGTATTTCACTCCATTCACTGTTGGTTGCGCTTTGGTTAGCTTGCCATAAAACACTGAGGAAAGGAGTGCGGGCAGGCGCGACTTACGAACGAAGCTGTTGTATCGGGTCATGTCCGTCCACTTCTTGGGAGGGTCGACTTGATAGTGCAGGTCCATAGTCTCATGCGTCTTGAACTTGCCGCTCGGCGCAAAGGGCGACATCTGCAGGTTGACCCGTTGGCTCGCGTCATCGTCCTCGAGGCCATCGGTGCGCCTGCGCTTCTTCTTCTTCTGCTCTTTGTCTTTGGGGTCGACAATCTTGATGCTGAAGGGACACTCGGCCCGACTGTCGCTGTCCTCCGTCCTCGGTCGCTTGCGAGAACCTGACATGG